AATAGTCATTGTTTCTAAGGCAAACTCAGCTTTCATCTTGAAAGGGTTCTGTTGCTTTTATTTTTGTTAATTTTCTGAAATGAATGAAATATTTATAAGAAATGTAACATAATAAATCTATGTATTTAATATTTCCTCTCCTGTGGGTTGACTTCTGCCATTTCCACTGTTCGTCTTTTTCCTCCACTCTACAAGATGCACTAGCCTGGATGGCTTGTCTGTGCTTCTCAGATGAGCATTTTCTGAGGATTCTTTGTAAATTAGCCCATAAAGCTGACCTCGTATTCTGTTTATCCAGATTTGTTCCTGTGACTCCCATAACAAATGGGCTGTGAATCCCAGCTGTGTCACACAAGATGGTATTAATTGATAGGAAGACAAGGTATTTAGGACATTAGGTCAGGCCAGCAGCCTGCACACCCCACGACTGCTGAAACTCCTCCCTGCCGTAACTTCCATCAGTTTGGTGCAGCTTGGCACTCGCGGATGCTGTGAGTGATCATTGCTCATTGCCCTCTTCAGCAGATACTGCAGTGCTTTCTCAATCTTTGCCACTCTGTAATTGTTTTGGGATGTGAGGGCGGATGTTTGGAGCCCCAATTTGTTAGGACTTCAGCCTCGGAAAGGAGCAGTAGAAAAGACTGCTGTAGATCAGAAAAGGAGTGCTGAAGTCTCTCACCTCCCCAAAAGCTAGAGGACCGGGTTGGTTCCTGAGAGACTGGGTGCCAGCAGAGTGCATCTCAGGTGCCCATCAGAAGACGAGATGAGTTGCTCTGTGGTGATGCTTGTCCTCTCTGTGCTGACCAAGGAGCAAGCATAGCTGAACAATTTCGATGGCATGACTGACTTTTGGAGTGATGAAGTTGGGTGAGGTGAATCCTGAATCCTACCCTCACCAACTGTTAGAGCAGAACGCACTCTGCCCGTGCAGCTCGTGGAAAGTAGGGAAGTAACAAATTACGATGCATCTTCTAGAATCACTCTTTCAGCTACAATCCTGGAGGCAGAGCGCTCCTGTTTCTCTTTGTTCTGAAGTGGCTTCCTCTCATTTTCCTCTGATGGGAAATAGAGGGTGACTTCTCCAATTGCTTAGCCGCTACCTGTGGCTGTCAGTCGCTAAGGGAGCTGCGGAGACCATGCAATGGTGCCGTTGGGTTTGTGCGTGAGCCTGGGAGTGCAAGTTTTGGGGAACAGTGAATCCCTCCACATAAAGACACTTGCCAGGAGATCATATATGCCCTTGGACTCTTGTTTGGACGCTTTCATCAAGTCACAGTGATTGAATCATGATTTTGTCACCTTGCACTGGCTGTGGGTTTGGAGATTAGTAACAGCTGCTTCCCAAAGGCGTTGTACAAAGCAGGCTTGAGTCTGTGATCGTTCAGCTCCAGCCACCCTGGGGTGGGTAAGGGGTGCTGTGTTTTCCCTACTCAAAGACCAAGCAGCCGCGGAAGCACTGCGGGCCGGTACTCCTGCACCGCCAGCACGGGCAGGATGAGACCGGCCGCGCACAGCGTGCAGGGCCGCCGGGAAGCTGCGGGGAAGCCGCCTTGGCCCCGAGCAGCCGCGTCTGCTGTAGGGGTGCTTGGCTCCCTCCTTCCATAACCCCCGGAATTTATCTTTGACGCGTGAGGGGCCGCGG